AGGAGACCGACCCCTTCAAGTGCAAACTCAAGGGGAGGTGGATCATTGGTGGGCACCGAGACAGCGAAGCAGGTCAGCATGCGACGGCTTCCCCTACGGCGTCCCTCCTTGGCCAGAACCTCGTGAACTTCCTGGGGGTGCAGTTTGGATGGCCCGTCACCTACGAGGACGTGACGGCAGCTTTTCTTCAAGGACGGCCTCTTCCACCGGAGCGCGAGGTCTATGTGCGTCTTCCCCGCGACGACTACCCGTCCGAGGTCTACGAGCTCCTCGGTAACTTCGTGGGGGCCGGTGCTAGGGTGGACATGGTGAGGCTCACGAAAGGTGGCTTTGGTTTGCCGGAGTCCCCGAGACTTTGGAACCAAGAGTACAAGCTGACGTTGAGCGACCTGGGCCTTCGGGAACTTCGTCTTCTTCCAGGGGTCTTTTGCGAGATGCGCGACCGCCAACGCTTGGGTGCCATTGCCTCCATCCATGTGGACGACACCCGCTACACCGGGGACGCCCAAGCCGAGGTGATCTGGGAGAAGCTCCACCAGAAGCTTAAGTTCGGGAAGCGTCGCCAGGCGAGCGAGGGATGGGTGAAGTTTTGTGGCCGTTGGGAGAAGCAGGACCCCGAGACCATGGAGATTGCCTACAAGATGGATGACTATGCCAAGGAGATCCCGCTTCTCCCCACGCGCAGCCCGGAGGACGACCTGCCCCTCACCGAGATCGAGAAGAAGATGATAAGCTCCACCGTGGGGCAGCTCATGTGGGCTGGAAGGCAAGCTCGCTACGACTTGCTCTATGGGACCTCCAATGGGCAGCAGTTGGCTGGCACGGGCGACCCTTTGGCCTTGGAGGCTCTCAACAAGGTGGTACGCCGAGCCCGCGAAGATGCCCCGATGGTGGTGCGACGCCTGGAGGTGCCTATGGACCAGTGGTGTATCATCTCGGCGTCGGACGCGGCCTATGGAGCGCAACCTCGAGGGGCCAGTCAAGGAGGCCTGGTGATCCTCGTTGCCGACCAGAAGATCACCCAAGGACCCGCTCGGGTATCCATTTTGGATGCTCAGAGCGCGAAGATTCACCGAGTGGTTCGGTGCTCGATGAGCGCCGAGCTCAGCAGCGGCGCGACGGCTTTTGAGTACGGGGACTACGTGAAGGCGGTGCTGGGCGAGATGGTGCTCCCGCCCTTCTCCTTGAAGGAATGGAAGCTGGCAACTATGCTTTGGCGCCATTACCTTGTGCTGGACGCCAAGACAGCGTATGATGCCTTGTACTCGGAGAACCTCCCGTCGGACCGCAAGCTGCTCATCGACATCGCCGTCCTCAGAGAAGCCCTGAGCGAGAACGAGCAAAACTTTGTGAGGTGGGTGCCTGGAAGCCAAATGATTTCGGATGGCCTCACCAAGTGGAATGGCAACGGCATCTTGCAGCAGGTGATGAGTACGGGATGTTGGTCCTTGAAGGACACCGAGGAGCCACAGAAGCTTCGCGAAGCAGCCGGGGCCAAGAAGAAGGCCATCATGGCAAAGGCGAAAGCTCTTAGAAATCAGAGCTTTTAGCCACGTGTCTTTTCTCTCATGCTTACCTTGTCTCCTTCGGGCACGGCACCCGGGGGGGTAAGACTCGAAACGGGCGCGTATGCAGCCGTGTCCTCTCGAGACCAGTGCAGCATGAAAAAGATGCCGGTGCAGCCTTGAACTATAAGGGTTTAGGGTTTAAGGGTTTAGAATCTTCAGAAGCAGGATCCTGAAGATAGACTTCTTCAGGATTCGGGTTTAGGAGTTTGAGTGGGGGAACCCCATTCGAGCAGATGCTGTCGAACCCGGAGGTCTCGCACATCCACGCCAAGTTTTGCTAGCCGCATAGACTACGAAAAGAGAGTAGGCCGGCCAAGACAAAATTGGGTCATGTTCAGCAAGAAGCATGTTTATGAAAACAAGCTCCCAGCTATACATACAGAAACTGCTGAGCAAGACCAGCGCGTAAATGCACTGCGAAGGCAATTTTGACACCAAGGTTTGATTTTTCCGTGCGTGTGCAGCTCCAACGCCTTGCTTTTGAGCGACTCGTAACACTCACAGCAAGGTAGGGCTGAGAACAAGCAACCCCATTTACAACATGTGATTTGTTGGTATAAATGTGAACACGCTCATGTGTTTGATACTTGACATGCGCATATTCTGCAGGGGTCTGCAAGAATTCAAAAGTTGGCTGAGCACGAAATTCTTGCAGCAAGGACGCACAGCCGGTTTCAGAAGCGCAACAGCAAGATCTTGCAGACATAGCGCACAAGGCCCTGCACCCAACTTGCCGGAGCAAGGGCTGCTAGCTAGTATCAGAAGGACAACCATTTCGATTGAAACTTCTTCAGCTTTGTGCCACCACAGTGGAAGACCCTGACAATGACGTTTGCCAAAGGTTAGATGAGGGGGCCAGCACGAGCATCTTTGAGCCCATCGCAAGCAGCATGCTGAACCCACTGCCCTTCTGCACTGCCAAAGCAACATCAATGCCAAGCTCCTGGATAGATTGGTTGCTTCAGAATTTGAGCATGGTTGGATCAAGTAGTTTCATGGCTCCTTGGAGGACGCCGAGAAGCAATGGCCAGCACACAGCGCAGTGAGCAAGCTCAGCATCGTTGCAGAAGGCAAGGATGCAAGACTCGTCCGGGTTCAGGGTTTCAATCTTTCGACACAGATGCCGACTCTCCAGCTTGCTGCAGGTAGCCGTCACTTTCGAATTGGATTCGAGGCAGGTTCTCCGAAGTGCTTCGTGATTTCGTTTTTGTTTATAACGGTGGTGCTCCTGCGTGGCTGAAGTTCAGGGTTGAGGACCGGAAGGGTTTTCATCAAAGTTTTGTGTGTTTCGGAGCTGTTGCTTGAAGGATGATGCCGGAGCGGCTAAAATGCTTTTGTTGTTGATAGTTGCAGCTCAAGTAGAGGATTCAGGGGAAGTTGCGGGTGCAAGGATTTAGAGTTTACAGATCGGAGGGTTTCGAAGCCTTGACCCCGTATCCAAAACCATAGTTCAAATCCCTAAACTCCAAAGTATGTTGTATCAAAGAGACTCTTCCTCATCATATGCTATAATCATATCTTCTTATGTATAGAACATATGATATACATCAAAATTTTATTGTCACAATAGGGTGGGAGTTTCGGAATTAGAGAAACCCTGATACGCTGCATTCGCAAGATAGTACGACCATGCTGGAATTCCCTGAACGGATCCTTAAGATTCTGGATGCCTGAAATACGCTGGCGTTGTGAGTTTGAGGCTTGGAGGTCCAGCTTCGGTTCTCAAGGACGGTTGCATTGGTACCCGTCCGTGTTCATTACACAGTAGACTTCCGCAGCTTCATTCCCGGCTGGTAAGGTGTGCATCCCAGGTGGCATCCTCGGATCCTAGAAGCACTGCCTTGTGTGCATAGCTTTCTCGCCCATGGGATCTTGGAGCCTTCTCGCCGTATTGATCGGGGTGGCCGTGGCCTATGTCCAGAAGACGGCCTTCTTATTGGCTAAGACCGGCCTTGTCATTGGCTGTGATGTGGAGAACCTCGAAGCCCAAGCCCACTACGGGGTGACATTGGATGGCTCCACGGCTTTGATGCGGGCAGCTCAGTGCAACTCCACTAAAGCGGTGGAGGCCGTCCTCAGACACAAGCCGCGGGTGACTGAGTGGCAAAGAAGTATTGGATTGTTCTATGATGTTTCGTCGTCCAGTCCTGCATCGTGACTTTGAAAGACCGCTGTGCCGTTACCTCCGTCGCAGCAAATTGCGCAAAGAAGCTTAAGGTGAATGTTCGGAACAAGAAGGGCTGGACTGCACTGCTGCACTCGGCCAAGTTGGGCAACAAACCGATGCTCGAGGCGATTTTGAATGCCAGAGCCGATGTCAACGTGCAGAACGAGGATTCCGTCTCGGGGCTTTGGTGGTTTTAGCTTTCAGGTCTTTTGGGGTTTCGTCACTTTTCTTGGGTTTGGAAGTTGTTGCATTTTAAGTCAGCTCAGGCGAGCCTCGGGTTTGAGTGTTTGACGCACTATGTCGTAATCGGACCTCCGGGTGCTTCAACTCTCTTTTTTCTAGACTTTCTGCGGATTTGAGGCTTTTTAGGCTTCGGGTTGTAGTACCTTTAGCATGAGTGTATGGGGTCTTGTGGGGTTTTGAGGTTCTTAGGGTTCGTGAGCTTTCCTTCAGCTTGATTTCGGTGCTTCGGGGGCAGAGCAAGGAGAACGTCAGCGCTCTGCTGCTGGCGGCCAGCTTCGTTCCTCGTCCTCCAGTTTATGTTGCACGGCCGCACCATATCACATGTACTGTGCAGACCAGACATGTAGGCATGCTGCTCAGAAGTGAACCAGGATGCATCGCACCTGTTGTGAGGATTGTCATGCGGCACTTTCGAACTGGCTTCACGCCTGGTCTCCTGCCAAGAAGTCTTGGTGCTGTGTCGTGCCGGCTCGCTTGACATGCATTGTTGAACATTTGGTTCGATGCAGCTATCGGATGGCCTGTCCCACACTCGTGCTGTGTGCTCGAGGTCTCAAAGGGATTTTGGGCTTTTGGGGAACGGGGTGGTGAAGGTCGAGGTTGTGTAGTATGCAGCGATCGTTAGGAGACTTCGACCTCGTCTATTAACCCAGGTCCCAGAGCGCAAATCCAAGATGGTAAGCTCAAAATGCAGCTGATCCCAGACCCGAAACGCGAG